CCCTATTGGAAACAATCCTCTTAGTTTAATTAGGAAATCCAGATTTTTTTTAGTACTTTAAAATTACAGATTTTCGAGAGGATAGTGTTATTATTATTATTATTATTATTATTATTTTTGTCAATGTTATCCTGTGTCACACCCATGTTTACACCAGTGTTTTTTTTTATCTGATGTGGCAGTATAAGGTATTATATAATTTTTACACTGTCAAGACAAATGGAATACCGGCACAGGTTTGACACAATAGGGTATTTCCGTTATACTAGGCTAAAAGAATGTACAGTGATCTCAAGTCGCACTCACTTAATCTATGAACACTAGTAGAAACTCTCTGGCATAATTTAGGAAGCTTTTTTCATCACCTTTGCTTTCAAAGTAGCCCGTTCATACCAAAACCAACGATTCAGCCTACATCTAATAAGGAGAAAATACGAGGATAAATATCTGATTTATACCCGCAGAGATCACCTTCACCTCTCATACACATATTTACAGCAGTACAAGGTATTGTATAGCAAGCCAGTTCACATTTATTTTATCATTTACAACTATATACAGCTGCATACCTTATGCACAAGTTTCACAATTTAAAACTATAGTTTATTATTACACAACATAACAATTATAAGGGAAGAACTTGGTGTACACGGAATAGGTTTCATGACATGGTTCCAGTGTTTTAGTTGGTCGATACAAACTTAATAGTATTAACTATATAGACACCTTATACACAAAATGAATATTTTACAGTACTATATTTATATCCTTTTATAAAGTACAATAAAATTGCTATCATTGCTGTCTACGCTCGTTTTAATTTGTTTTGGTTTCATAGCAAACTCAACAATGAAACCCCAAAAGCTCTGAATGTATAACAGAAGATTTTATGGCATACAACAATCACTCTCATCAATAATTATTCAAACTTATTTTACCTATTAATAGAATGAATAAATAAATTATATTTCCAATAACTATCACAACCTTCACAATCAATAAATCATTAAACCCCATATAAACACATGAAAATAACAAACAGTTATATACCACTGCATCCGCTCGAAAAAAAAAATTCGCTCGAATTCGCTCGAATTGGCCTTCGCTCGAAGTGGCATCCGCTCGAATCGACTGGTTCCTAGGCTGGGACATGAAAGGTTGTTGTTTGTTGTTATTTCGCAATTCGCGACGTCATCAACGAGTACAATACATTCAATCCCGTAACATGATTGGTCTATTTTTAT